GCCTTCTCACTACAGTGTGCTCACTATCCACCTCCAGTTTGCAGAGCAGGGAACTGAACGTCGGTGTGCTAAAGCCCCATCCACTAGGGAATGCACTGCTGAGAGTTTTGGACATGTCCTTCTAGGTTTTTGTCAATGAATCTCTGTATACATTTGGGTACTTAGGCAAACAGAGAATGTTGCTGTTTTGTTTCATTACAAAAACAAATGCAGCAAGGTGCCAGTGGCTCACACCTGCAATCCTAGGCAATCCACAGGCTCACATCTGAAGTATCTTGGTTCAAAGCCAGTCCAGATAGAAAACTTCTCTAGACTCCATCTCTAAAATAACAAGCAAAATGCTAGGCTGGAGGCATGACTTAAGTGGCAGAGTGCCAACTCTGATTAAGAAATCCAAATGAGAATGCAAGGCCTTGAGTTCAAGCCTTGGTACTAGCAAGAACAAAAACAAAAATCTTAAGTGGATCATGCTATATACTCATTTCTGCAATCTGCAAGATTTTTCTATGATTGTTCATATAATTCCTCCCTTCCTTCTTTCCTTCCCTTTTTTCCTTACCCTCCTCCCTTCCCTCCCCCACCCCGCTCTTTTCCTTCTTCCTATAATGTTTGGTGATACTGGTATTTAAGTTCAGCACCTTCTCCTTGCTAGACAAGCACTCTACCTCTTGAGCCACACATCCAGCCTTAACTCATCCTTTTTAAAGGTTGCCTAAGTGGTGCAGCTTTATTGCTGCCATACGGGCATGAGTGCTGAGGAAGTCGTACACCACGCAGAATCTCACATAAGCGTCCTCACACACTGGGCACTTGCTTGTGAGGACCAAAGCTGTTCACATGCAGACTTTCACTGACGTGGCTGAACTCTCCTCCAATGCATTTACCATGAGCATGCGAATACATACTTTTCTACAACTATGCCAAAACTATGGGAGATAAATGGAACCTTGTGCGAATTGGCTTTTCCTGAATTATAATAAAAATTGTATGAGGCAACACTACCCAAATGGTAATTAAACAATACAAATACAGTGAGTTAAAACTAAGGTAGCAGGAAAAGGGGTTGTGCACTTTGTTTATTTACAAATACCCATTTGGGCAACGCTTTTCTGTCTTTGGACCCAGCAACAGGCTCCTTCTTTCCACTCACTCTTCCCTCTGTAGCCCAGATTCCCTCAGATGTGGTTTTGTTTCCCTCTGTGAAGTGAATGTAAAGACCTAAAGACCTTGTGAACTTATCTGAATGTAGAACTGGGCGGAACTAAGCAGCAAGCTTTTAGAAATTTGCCTTCATTGACTTTCCATAGCTTCAATTTTCAGAGACATAGCTATTTTTACCTGGGAAAAGATACATTGGTTTGCATATTCTTTAAATTACCTAATTTACCAAGTTGTAAGACACCATCAACTCTTGGAAATCACCAAATTAACTGACTAAAACACGTGGGTGTTTTAGAGAGTAGCCCAGAAAAAACCTAGAGGAGAGGGCACTGAGCTGCAGTATCTGAAACAGAGAGAGAGAGATAGAGAGACAGACAGAGAGAGAGACAGAGAGAGAGAGGGAGAGAGGGAAAGGGAGAGGAAAAGAGAGTGAGAAAGGCAGAGGGGGAGTGGTTGGTTAAGACAGTATGTACCAGGTTAGTGATGTGAAACATAATCTATATGCTTCCCATCCAATATGCTGCCCCATGTACCATGTTCCCTAAAACACTACCTTTTACCTTTTTCTTGTTCACTTGATTGATTTTTTTATTTTTTTAAATTTATTTTTTATTGTGAAAATACTGTACAGAGGGGTTACAATTACATGGGCAAGATAATGAGTACATTTCTTATCAAGCATTGTAGCCTCCTCCTTTGTTTCCCCTTCCCATCCCTTCCCATCCTCCCCTTGCCCCCCCACCCAATCCTCCCCGCTCCCCCCTACCAAAGTTGTAAAGTTTGTTTTCGACACAACAACTTGTACTTCTCATTATCTCTAAGTAGTTGCACAAAGCAGTTGCAATTCAGCACCGCAGATTATGAGTATAATGTATCTTAATCAGTGTTATCCCTTCCAACACTCACCTCCTCTCACAACCTATACTCATTCCCTCATAATTGTTACAACCACTACGGAAGGCAGTTTGGACATTCTTTAAAAAACTAAACATAGAACTATCCAATAATCCAGAGATATCACTCTTGGGCATTTATCCAAAAGATTATAAGTCAGGATACAGTAAAGACACATGCACAACTATGTGCATTTCAGTATTCACAATAGCTAAGTATGGAAACAGCTTAGATGCCCTGAAATGGATGAGTAGCTCAAGAACATGTGGTATGTGACATATATATATATATATATATATATATATTTATACAACTATATGCACATATATACACACACATACACACAATGGAATTTTACTCATTTCTTAGGAAGAATAATATGACATTTTCAGGAAAATAGATGGAACTGGAAAAATTATATTGAGTGAAGTCAGGCTCAGAGAGGACAAAGGACATATTTTCTCTCATATGTGTTCTCTTTCACGGATCTACATTATAAACATATAAGAAAAATGATATAGGGAGGGGGGAGGCTGGGAAGGGATGTGAAGGGTAAACAAAGGAGGAGGCTGCAATGCTTGGTAAGAAATGTACGCATTATCCTGCCCATGTAATTGTAACTCCTCTGTACAGCATGTTCACAAATAAAATAAAATTTAAAAAAAATAGAAAAATGATATAGGGTCATATTCAGATATATAGAAACAAATTGGCCAAAGTATGATATAGTCAGAGGAGGATTCTGATTATGTAATTCCTATGAATAATGAACTTACAGTTCAACAAAATGAGTACTAGGAAGAGTTTTCCTTAATTATTTACAGATGCACTTTATAAATCTCACACACTAATCCTTTGCCTTTCATTCATCATAAATATAACCCCTAGCCTTTACCTATCCAGTGTCTATTTCTTGTAGTCATCTGTCTTATGTAAGTACTTACTTATTATGCAATGAAAGAAAGTTTATTTATAGCGTTTGCTAAGAAGTGAAACACATCTCTCCAATATTTTCTGCTAGTGTTTTTAACAATTTTTTCCCCTAGGTTATGGATGAACTTGAAATACAGAAGTTTCTGATATCTCACCAAAATGCTAAGGCCAGACATGGAGACACTGGGTTTCAAATGGAAATTTATGATGTAGAATCCTTGTGAGTACAACAAATACCCATGCTGCTGGGCACCACCTTCCTTAAGAAGGATTAGAAGCTGAGAGAAGCAAAGAGAACACATGGATGTTAAACCACGATGAAAACTGGGACAAATGCTTGTCTTTGAATGGAGAGAACATAAAAGATGAAGGTATGACTCAGCCTAGAACTCCACACAATCTCCTCTAGCCACAGAAACTATGGCCAAATCCTCAAGTGCATGGAGAGCTCAGCATTTACTGAGCACCTATGAGGAACATGCACTGCTACATGCTAGACACAACTGCAAGCCCAAAAGGGTACATTTTTAACCTGTGAGCTGACAGTGTAAGAGAATCCACTTTAAATGAATTATTCAGTTTTGCTGAGACAGGGATGCTGAGTAGTCTACAGGAAATCACAAATATAATCCAAGAGAATGAAGAAGTGACGGTGTGGGTGGCTGGAGAGACTTCTCTCAAAGACAATGAATCTACCGTACCCAAACTAGTAAGTAAGCAAGCCAAAAGGAAGGTACGGAGTATGTGCAGGAAGGCATGCCCTGCCTTGGGCAAACCACCTTTCCAATTGTTGGCCTGGCAACATTTGGAGCCTTGTAATCCAGTACAATTGGAGGGGTGGGGCATGAAGCTCCTACACTGATCCATATTCAGATTCTCCTTACTCCTCTCACCTTCTTCTCTTTCCTGGCAGTCCTCAAACAGGGGTACACGCTTTAATGGATTATATTCTTTGTGTCCTTCTGCTTGGGGTACCCATCTTCCTTCCATACTTCAAGACCCACTGAAGACTCAGCTCTTGCATAAAGCAGGTCCTAATCCCCGCAGACATGATCTTTGACTCCTCTGAATATCTGTAGCAATTGTCTGCTTCTCTTCCCTCTTTCCTCCCTCCTGTTCTTCTAAGAAATCTGTTCATATAATCACTAACAATTATTTTTATAGAGGTAGAATAATAGAGTGGAGCATGCATCTGGATTCATATTAAGGGGAAAAGTTTTTAATTTATTTCATGTCATGACAATTCTCACATTGACACAAAATCTGTAATCCCGACTGGGTACCTGGTGGCTCGTGCCTGTAATCCTAGTTACTCCAGTGGTTGAGATCTGAGGATTGAGGTTCAAAGCTAGCTTGGAGAGACAAAACTGTGATTCTCTTATCTCCAATTAACCACCAAAAAACTGGATGTGCCCTGCAGCTCAAGTGGTAGAGAAAGGGCCGGCCTTGAGTGAAAAAGCTGAGGCCCTGAGTTCATGCCTCAGTATGGACACAAACACAAACACAAAACAAAACAACAACAACAACAAACAAACCCCACAAGCCTTTCCAGAAGTGAAAAGTCTCTGGAGACCTACCTTAGCAAGACATGATTTTCCTTCGGAGACAACTTTCTTAATCACATTACACATCCAGAGTAATAAAATTTTCCCATTTATCTTGTCTAGGATAAGGGTTAAAAGACATGGAGAGAAAACAACAACAAAAAAACTTCCATCCATAAATCTCAATCCTACACCACTCATCTTCCCCCTTTAATTTAGTTCTTTGAAGACATTACTAATTTTGCTGTATGTTCCCTGGAGCATTCCTTATCAAGATTAAAAAGGGGCTTATTCAAGACAAACAGGATATAGGGAGTAATGGTTTAGCTTACAGGCAGGCTATAAATAGACACAACATTTTCCAGAAATCGTGAGCCAGTATGTGAGTTGCAGCTTAAATGTACAGTGCAGATTTTATTACAACGATGTCAACTAAAGTCATCGTTACAGAGTAAATTCAACTCTTACCAAGTTTTCTTGGTTCCTGGCTGCTATTTTCTGCTCCTCTTCTGCCCCATTTTTCATGTATTTGACCTCTTCCACTGGTTTGATCCTATATTCATCTGTATGCCAAAAAAAGAAAAGACATCTTACAATTTTTTCCCCACAATCATAGAAAACTGCCAGTGAGTAAAGTCCAATGGCTTCCCTCTGGCCCTTCTATATGGATTCTCTGGAACAATCTGGAAAAAGCTCAACCAAGATTCTTGAATCTGCTCTGTCTACTGGATGGACTCAGCATCCTGAACACAGACATGAGTTCTCTGCATAGTCCCTCCACAGAGAGCAAGCAAACAAAGAAAACAGGCAAATCTGTCTTAAGACTGTTTTAAATCTATACACACAGAGACACACAATGACCCAAGAAGGAAAAGAATATTCGTACTTCTCCTCAAGAGAAGACTAGTGTAAAAGGCCTGGAATGGCAATTTTCAAGTGGCATGTTTACACCTTAATTTCTTTCTTATGTGAAAACAGAGTACTGTTTAGGACTAAGGAGTTGTACTGTTAAATAAATATAAACAATTGGGAAGTGAAGTTTTCCTATGACCTGCATATTTAATCTTTGAGCAGTATGGAGTTACTACAAACACACTGTCCATTTATTTACACATGCATACTTATTTAATTTAAAGTTAAATACACAAAAAGCCATAATATGAACCAGATCAAATAGGGTAATACTGAAAGCTGTTGAGTGTAGACAGTCACAGATGGATCCATACTTCCCATCAGCCAGCTATAAATTTCCAATGTCAATAGCTATTCCAGGTCAAATTCAGGAAAACATCAGCTGGAGTTTTCCTTCAGGTCAGAGGACAGAGGACAGAGGTGATGATTACAATGACATTTTTATCAGATTTGTGTCAACAGGAAATGACTTGGACTCCAAAGTTCAACAACAGAGTGACTTTAAGACATTTCTGTTGTCATTTTTTTGTTTTTATTCAGTCATGGGCTTGAACTAAGGGCCTAGGTGCTGTCCTTGAGCTATTTTGCTCAAGGCTAGCACTCTACCATATTAAGCTACAGTGCCACTTCCAGCTTTCTGGTAGCTAATCAGAGATAAGGGTCTCATGGATTTTCTTGCCTAGGCTGGCTACGAACCACAGATCTCAGTCTTCTGAGTAGCTAGGATTACAGGTATGAGCCACCAGCACCTGGTGCAATTTGAAGGGACAAAAATCATACAGATTATGGAATCAAAAAAATGCATCAACAAACCGATGCTTGCTTGCTTGGCAGATGGTATGTGGTAACACATAACTAGGAAAAACAGCTGTCTATCATGAAGGGAGTTCATATTTCACAGTTTAGGAAGCTGTGATATATGTTCTTATTGAATTAATTGGGTACAATTAACTACCTTCTTAGCAACTTCCTGTTTTATTGTTTTTCTTTCTTTTTTTTCTCTTTCTTTCCCTCCCTCTCTCTTTGTCTCTCATCCTTTTATTATTTTGGTATGTGCTGGTATTGGGACTTGAACTCAAGGCCTGGGTCCTGACCCTTACTTGGCTTTTTTGCTCAAGGCTAAAACACTACTACTGGATCCACGCTCCATTTCCAGCATTTTTGGGCTTTCCTACATGGCTAACTTTGAACCTCAGGCCTTAGATCACAGCCTTCTGAATAGCCAGGATTACAGTTGTGAGCCACCGGCACCTGGCTCTGTTTTAGTATTTCTAATACCACTTTTTCATGTTATTTTAGGTTTTCTAATGCATTCCTTAAAGACACTATCCTCAGGACAGTTAATTTTTTTTCTTTTTATTGTGAAAATACTGTACAGAGGGGTTACAATTACATGGGCAAGATAATGAATATATTTCTTATCAAGCATTGTAGCCTCCTCCTTTGTTTCCCCTTCCCATCCCTTCCCATCCTCCCCCCCCACCCAAGCCTCCCCCTCCTCTCCCCGCCCTCACCAAAGTTGTAAAGTTCCTTTTTCCACATAACAACTTGTACATCTCATTGTTGCAGTGGGTCCACCTGTATCCCTATTTAAATGATTTGTTTTTTCCCTTCCCCTCCACAAATTATACCAACCTCAAATACAGTGAAAGCAGGGGTTATACCTGGGGGAGGGACATATAAAGCAACAAAGAAATCATCTTATAAATGTGTTAGAAACCATCACCTTCAAGACAGTTATTATAGAAACATTTTTCCAAGTAATTATGCTGGCCCAACGTTTTTCAGAATTCTCATTCTTGTGAAGCTGATCTATTTACATCGATCTGCATACGAACTCCATGCTCACAGCAAAACCACCTGTTTGTTCCACCTCAGAATTCAAGGTGGATTCAGTCTCTTTCTATAGAAATTGAAGAGACTGGTGTGAAGTTATAGTACTGAATGGTCTAGGGATTTTAAGTCCTAAATGTCTTCAGAGGTTAATCAATGACTTGTGATTCATAAGTACAATTTCAAAGAATTTCACAGGCAACTATGAGTGGTGCATGTTGGAATCCAGCACTCAGAAGACAGAGGCAGGAGGATCTCAAGTTCAAGGCCAGTCTGGACAACATAGCAAGATTCAGTGTCAAACAAATAAACAAATAAAATGAGGATTTGGCTGGGTTTGAGAAAGATGTGGAGTAGAATGGAAGGGATGGCACTGATCAGGATGCACTATACTTATGATTGTTGAATTGAAATCCTTGTATACAGATATTTAAGGATACTTTCTAAAAAGTAAATATGAACATCCTGTAGAAATAGAAAAAAAATTACATTCCAGTTTGGCATCCAGAAAACAAATTATTGACACAATTAAGGATTATTTACTGAAAACCACATAAAGAGAAACAATTGTCAGTTTTAAAAGATATAAATTATAAGGTCTCCAATGTAATCAACAAAAAAGACAAATAAAAATAAAAGCAAGTAACTGAAAACAACCCCCCTGAATTCAGTTTGGAATATTAATAATTAATATTTAACTGATCTGAATTGTGACATATATGTGTCACATATATAATATATAAAAATCTGTCCTATATATGATATATAATGATACAGATAAATTATAGCTCCAGTAGAGTCTATGGCTCTATCTACATGACTCAAATAATAGGATGGGGAAGAGCATACACATTCAGACCTAAGCAGGAAATTCTGAAAATCACAGCTGGCTCTTCACATCTTACATAGCAAAAGGTGTGTCCTAGAAAGGGCCATCCTTTCCTTCTCATTGTCCTACCATTTGCCATGCCACAGTCCAGTGCAGACACACAGAACAGTCTGGCGATATCCAACCTTCATTTTCCCATCCCTCCAGAGCACCACTAAGTTAAAACTATTAATATTTCTCTCATGTTCTTTTCCAAGGAAATGGCAAAGCCTGGTAATACGACTTTCAAAGTAGCATTATTCCAAACACAGGTTTTATCCTTTCTTTCTTTCCAACAAGCCAAAAATCTCCAACAATTTAGAAAACAGACAGGTTTTAATGCATCATTAGCCATCCCCACTGGCTAGTTAAGATGATGCTAAAAGAACACTGTATGATTGTATACAAAGAGAGAAGGAAGGCCTTGATCTGAAGAGCTCAGGGACAGCTCCCAGGCCCAGAGTTCAAGCCCCATGACTGACCAAAAAAAAGAAGGGAAGGGAGGGAAGGGAAGGGAGGGGAGGAGAGGAGAGGGAAGGGAAGGGAGGGGAAGGGAGGGAAGGGGAGGGAAGGGAAGGGAAGGGAAGGGAAGGGAAGGGAAGGGAAGGACGGCAGGCAGGCAAGCCAGACAGAAAGAAAGGAAGAAAGGAAAAAAGAAAGATATCCAAGATGACAACGCCAGACCAGTCATTGCAACTTACAATCACTCCACACAAAATCTATCACGGTATAAAGCAAAAAATGCCAGCGAGATGCTTAGAGAAGCCACAATTTGGACAAAGCAGATACTTAACAATCTATCAAATTTCACCAAGGCTGGTGCTGGGATGAAAATGTCCATTTGCAAACAGATAATTCATCAACAAATGTACCACACATTGGCATGGCAATGAGCCGTCAGGGACAGCTCTCCTCGACAGACCTCTGCCAGGACAAACGCAGCCTTTTGGGTCATGACAGTGAGACTGAAATCCAGATTTCCTTTTGTGGAAGGCTCAGGGGAATTTATTTGGGACTAAAGCCCCCTTTTTATCAGAGCCACAGTAGAGGCAGTGAGGACAGCCACTGTTACCAGCCAGAGAATCCTGGCAGGGGATCAATGTGCCAATTTGATTAAGAGGGGAGAGAAACAGGACCATCTTCCTCACGCTTCTGCACACCTGTTCACCAGTTTTCTCTTCTTCCTGTTCATCTTGCCAGGTGGCTTATTGAAATGCACATCATGAACAGGAGGCTGCTTCTCCATCCCTCTGTGTAAACAGTTGCAGGCTGTGCTAGTCAAAATAGGTCTGGGGGAAAAGCAATGTCTTGGTGACATTTTTTAGAATTTCATCTTGAGATTATAATAGAGGGGCTGGGGTTTTTAATTTTATTATTTTTTTTAGCAGTCATTAATCAAAAGGAGACTTGGCTGGAAGGTGTCAAAGTAGATTTAGATTTTGGCTGTTTGGAAAAACAACTGTAAGTAAGATCTCTTGTTATCCTCCATTAGCATGGAGAGTTCTCTGCCTTCCTGCATCTAACAGGTACATTTGTGAAAATTCCTGGCTTTGTAAGAACCCTGATATAAACTCTCTAGTCCATTAAACTCATCAGTTTTATTAATTATGAAGGCAAAGTTGTAGCAGGTTTTCTGTGTGTAATGCCTGGGAGAAAAGGTGGATTCAGCTAATGACTTTTCAATGAAAACAACTCAGACAAGGGTAGGCCATGGTGTCCTGCTAATGATACTCAATTACTTGGAGAAAATAAAGATATGCCTGAGAATTAAGCCACGGGTTCTGGATAAAGGAGAGCACTTGAAAGTAAACACAAACAATACCCCACCATTCAATATCCAGATGGTCTACACTTCAAAGTGCATTTTGAAGCAGAAACTGCATAAGAAGGGTTTGTTTTTCTTCTTCCCTGGGAATCCAGGGATTGGACTGGATGGAGCTGAGCTTTGTT